GCATCTATGCAGGCCGGACTGTGCAGCCTGGTTTGGTATCTCCGTTACTGCGCATGTGGCAATTACAGTCACAATGAAGTAGCAAATAGTCTCCATTTCTAATCAAACCAGGAATGTTGCCCCACATGCCACGTAGCATGAGCGCGAGTAAACCACGCTAAGGTACACCACGCATAGCCTAGTGGGCGGGCAGGGATCCTGTAACGTAAGAAAGCCATGTTAGGGTGATGCTCCATTAGGAGCGGTTCCCAACTTTATGTCATTAATGTCGTGATATAAATTAAGAGATATAAAGGGGGGGGCGGATCGATATAAATTAGATATTAAGGGGGGTTAGATATGAAATAGATATCAAGGGGGGGGGGTTATATATAACGATATAAAAGAGCTATTAAACTTGCGCGCCTTGGCTGCGCGAGCAAGCGAAATACAGAGAGGGGCATGTTCGCTTCGTTTCGCTGGACTTCGCTGGGCTTCGTTGCTCGAGCAAGCAAAATGAGACTGGGGTAGCAAGCAAGCTCGAGGAGCGAAGGCGAGCAAAACGAAGCAAAGATGCCCGCTCGTATTTCGTTTCCTCGAGCAGCGAAGGCGAGCGAAACGAAGTGAACAACCCCCGCTCTGTATTTCGCTTGCTCGCGCAACGAAGGCGAGGGAACATGCCCCAGCTCTGTATTTCGCTTGCTCGAGCAGCGAAGGGGAGCGAAACGAAGCGAAGATGCCCCGCTCTGTATTTCGCTTGCTCGCGCAATGAAGGCAAGCGAACATGCCCCAGCTCTGTATTTCGCTTGCTCGAGGAGCGAAGGGGAGCGAAACGAAGCGAAGATGCCTCGCTCTGTATTTCGTTTGCTCGCGTAGCAAAGGCGAGCAAAACGAAGCCAAGATGCCCCGGTGTCTATTTCGCTTGCTCGCGCAACGAAGGTGAGCGAAACGAAGTGAACATGCCCCCGCTCTGTATTTTGCTTGCTCGTGCAACGAAGGCGAGCGAACATGCCGTCGCTCTGTATTTCACTTGCTCGAGCAGCGAAGGGGAGCGAAACGAAGCGAACATGCCCCCGCTCTGCATTTCGCTTGCTCGAGCAGCGAAGGCGAGCGAAACAAAGCGAAGCGAAGCGAACATGCCCCCGCTCTGCATTTCGCTTGCTCGAGCAGCGAAGGCGAGCGAAACGAAGCGAACGTTTCACTTGGAAGAGCAACGCCTTCCTTTCAAGCTCGCTTTGGTCAGACTCAAATGAAGCGCTGACTTTCATATCCCATTGATATCTATTCTATATCTAACCCCCCTTGATATCTATTTTATATCGATCCGCCCCCTTGATATCTCTTTTATATCACGATAATAATGACATTAAAGTTGGGAACGCTCCTAATGGAGCGTTAGCCGAATGTTATGCCTCTGCATGGATGTGCGAGTGACTGAGTCAGTGACTGAGTCAGTAAGCGAATTTAATAACCGCCGAAATGATGTCACGCACACACCCACGCACGCACAAACACAAGCCGGCCCACATGCACACGCATGAACGCACGCACGCCCACACAAACACAGGTGCAAGAACAGTATGGGAGAGAGGGACGTAAATGAGCAGGCGGTGCTGGGGAAGGAGGAAGAATAATGTACACCACAGAAAAACTAGAAAGAAAGGGGTAAAATGAGTACGACATGGGGAAACATGATGCTATTGCTAGCCAGTAAAAGCAATTACGACATACATGTAGGCTAGTGGAGGTTTTGGGGTTCATCCTAAAGCTAAACAACACATTCTGTCGCTTGGGCAAGAACTGTTCTTCAAATTCTTTATGAATTATGCTGTTGCACATGCAGCTCAAATAACAGTTTTCAATGACATGCTTGGCTCGCTTTCCTTGTATCACATCAAAACAGTTTTCAATGTAGTTTCAAATAACAGAATTCTCTAACGATGCGCTCGCCTCTATTGAGACACATTATGTTTTACAAACCAGAAATAACGCACGACGATTCTCTCAGTTGTTTGGTCAGCGATTATAAACATAGAAGTAACAGTAACACTCGAACAAGAGCCGCAGAGCGCTGGGCTCATCTGAGGTCTGTTGCTACGGTTATAAACGTAACATTTAAGTCGTGCGTAGTGACACCTTTGTTAGGCGCAGATATGCAGATACGCAGTTGCGTACACATCATTTCAGCAACCTTCTGCATTCTGCATACCTCCCAAATCCCATTGGTTGATACAAATCGCGTGCCTGAAACTCCTGTTTTATGGTGCATTGTGACCCTAGCCCTAACCCTAACCCTATTTTTTTTTTATTGTTGTTATTAAATTGTTTTAAATAAATCATGTAAATATTTGCATTAATTGGAAAAAAATAGTTAAATGGATAAAGATAGAAAAATACAGAAAACAGGTAAATAATAAAAAATCAGATGGGATTCGATCCAACGACCTTTGAGCCGTGACGCCTGTGCTGTACACGTTTGGCTATCCAGGCTTATTTGGTTTCTAGATTATGGATGTGCCATGAATATGACAACACTGTGACGTCATTGAGGCAGTTCAGGAATCCATGTTTAACCCTCCTCTTGAGGGTCAAAAGGTTATCAGACACTCACTCTTCGCACGTCAGTGGAAAACACATTTCATGGTCCTTTCAATAAAGTGATAAAAATGGTAGGTCAGTGGCACAGTGCAGAAACAAAAAAGTTTTTCACTCTGTCCGTTAGGCCATGTCCTCAGAAAATGTCTGATATCTGACCTTTGCCCCACTGCCCTTTGACCTGTGACCTCCAATTTCGCACTGGTGATGGGTTTCCTGCCCATCACACTATACACCGAATATTAAGAGCATAGGTCGAGCTGTTAAGAATTGTGCCGCAATTCCGTATTTCCTCCTATACCTTAAGTTAAGGGGGAAATATTCCCCCTCCGTTTACACATCTTGACCTTTGACCCCCAAATTTGTCATCCTGAGTCCTTTTTACGACACCCCCTGCCCCCCCACCCCCCGACGTCCCGAATATCGTGACCGTACGTCGAGCGGTTAAGATTTTGTGCCCAATTGTTGACTGACGGACGGACGGACGGACGCACGATCATGCGATTCTACAAGCTGCATCTGCTACAAGTACAAGCTACAAGCTACAGATGCTACAAGCTACAATACATCCAACTCGATGCCATACTACATCACCAGCAGCACATTTTTCGAGAATCAGTAGTGCTTCAGTGTTTAAAATCTGTCATGTCCACGTTCGCATATATAGAAACGCTCGAAAATATGTTAACAGAGTGAGATGTATGTATGTGGCAGGCAACGAGTCAGACACAAACACTCTGGCATGTTCTATTCCCGAAGAGCAGTGTATTACATCGGGTACCCGTTCACTGCTTACGTTGCTCTGCCATGTGTAACACAACGTTGAAGAAAGTGGCCAGGGCATCTGGACTTCGTTACCACGCACGCGCCCCAAGGAAGTATTTCTGAAGGACTGTAACCTTCCTGGCATGCATCCACAGTGACAGACCACACATGTAAGCATATATATGAAAAAGTTCAGCCCCCAAATATGACCAACTAAGCTTCATCTACACGAGCAAAGTATGTATTTAGGCTCATTATTACAGGAATTCATAATCGACCAGAGCATTGGAAACAAATACCTGATTACTTGAAAACATTTAATCAGACAGATTTAATATTATGGACAGACAGACATACATGCCCTGCATCTTCAAGATAGTGAGGAATAACTTTGTTCAAACTAAGCAAGACCAAATGTTGATATACAGGGAGGACTAATTCCAAGCCTTCAGCACAAAATATTTTATTGTTATTTTTTAAATCAGAATAGTCTAGTGATCTCAGTACACGAGAACGTAGCTGAATAGAGAAAACACTAGAGCAGATGTAATATGCAATAGATAAAGAACTGTGCACGAATTTTTTTTCACAACTGAAAACTGGAATTTAAAAACCGTTATATTCAGTGTGATGTAAAAATACCTAAAGCTAGCAATAGACATGAGTTAGAAGATCAGCATAACACCAATGAACTATAAGCCTGTACAATGCTTTTACAATAGAAACACATTTCAGCATTGTTACTGTTAGTGTTAGAACAACATGGAAAATGCAGACCGAAAATGGTAATGATAACAATAAAATCACATACCTTCTTCCTGTACCATTGCCATACTTTACACTTAATATAAAAGTGCTTCTATCGCCTCCATAGACAGTCCATCATACAGCCTGCAACAGCCATACAGAGAACCTATAGCCTCAGACAAATAATAGTAAATCATCCTACAAGTGAAATATCAACAACAGGGAAAAACTAACGTGTGACATTACGTAACATGTTGTATATATATATATATATACAGATATTACTACGGAAATATCACTTTCATTGCTGGTATCTATAGCCTATCTTTTGATTTATGATGCCTAACCTATTACCTATACCACATAGCAAGGGGCTATAAGCAATGTTGGTCTGTATTTCACTCGCTGATGTAATGAAATGTAGCACAGTCTACTATGAAAACAACTTACAATAACTATGCAACTCATAGACTAATTGTATCAGTGATAAATTACACCACCTCCTCCTATATAAACAGCTTCCTATAAGTCTTACTACCATAACAAATAGCCTGACAAGTACCAATGGCAATATAACAACACAGGACATGCAGCGATAAGAGTATAATAACAGCAGCAATAATAGTAGGCCTAGTAATAATAGGGTTCTGAGAGTTCATGACTACAGACTAGTACAGTATACCCTAAAATCAAGACTTAATGCATGGGGTCCGGAAGGGGTGATACTCCATTAGGAGTGTTCCCAACTTTAATGTCATTAATGGTCATAATAACATATATATGTATATATATATATATATATATATGGTCATGGTCATATATTAGTTTGTGGTTTAATGTCATTTAGGTTAGGGTTAGGGTAAGGATTATCAATCATTAATCATTAATCATTAATGATATCAAAGTTGGGAACACTCCTAATGGAGCGTTAGCCGAACCCTATTAGTATGAGAGTTCATGACTACAGACTAGTACAGTACACCCTAAAATCGAGACTTAATGCATGAGGTCCGGAAGAGCACTGGTAGTTGTTTTAGGCGGTGCAGTTTGTACGCTATACTGTATCCAGAGTTCCATTATGGCAGTGGTGCCAATCACAGTCTTGTCTCCCCATTATATAATTCACTGGTGTGAGCACAGTAATGTGAATGTTCTGCTGTACTTGTGTGTGTTTCCGAGTTGTTAGTTGTGAAATGTCGTGTTTGTTCTACACTCACCTGTGAAATTCTGATCCCTGATGATGAATGATTTTGGTGCCATAGTATGTAAGTTAGTTGAATTAGATGAAGTGGCATCTTTAACTAGATTACCTAGAGATACCTAATACTAGCGCTGAAGGGGTCGTTGTCGTATATGTAGTACCCGAGGTGTCGGCGAGTATGTCGCCTACGCCTACTCCCTAACCCTAACCCTAACATATCAGATAGTTACCGGAGATTGCAGATGCTCAATGTGTGATATATTGATATATTGTTGTTATTTTTTTAAAGGCAATACGGCCAATTAGGCCATGTGATAATAACACTACAGTTACGCAGTTTTTATTATGTTTAATCAATATCTTTTATTCTTGTTTGATATCGGTGCAAAAGCTCTTAGCTTATGTTACAATGTTCATGATATACCGATGAAAATAAATTTTACTTGAACTTGAACCTCGGGTACATATTATACGCCATTATACGACAACGACCCTTCGTGCAATACTAGCCTATGTCATTAAGTTAACAATAACGATTAACATGATGTTGATCAGTAATTCTCTCACTCAAACAATCTACGGATTATATGGTGAACTAGTTTTGAAACGTTGTTGCGCTTGTCTGCATCTTCCTATGACTGTTTACATGCTTCATTGGGGAATAACTCAATCAGCAATGCAAAGCACATATACGAACTAAAACTACGTACTGCCAATGCCAGAGTCAATGACTGACCGAATGACCAACCCTCAGAGTCATAGTCATAGTCATATAGCAGATTAGCACTAGCAGTGCTGAAAGTGGTGGCACAACAGTAACTTGGTAGGTGGTTTTACGAATGTTAAAAAAGTAGATATGGTTTAGTTACACGATAGATGTGATAATGAGACATAAGGCATACCTGCAAGATTGTCAGAGAACAACAGAATAACTTCAGATGCACACGATAAATTAAAACTCGACATAAAACTAAAACTTGTTCCCGCAATACCAGAAACCTGAGTTATGTGACGTCAGAGCAACCACTTTTCGTATTTGTAACGTGGCGACACCTTTTGGACAGAAAATGAGAAAAGTCGCCTAATAAAAAATCCTACTACACGATGCGTATCATTATGAGTGACAGTGTCAGTAGAGGCCACATTAATATAATACGACAATAATGTTTTCTACTTCAATGATTTTTATAAATTATTAAATGCGCTTAGGCCTCTTCTTCTTGTAAAATGTAATGTAGATTTTTGCATTTCGTAATGCGCGTCAGCGCCTCTGGTGGTCAGCTTAGTAACGCAACGTTAGAAGTAATGCATGTTGTTTTTATCGTTGACGGGATTGACATTATCAACATCAGATAGACTAAGAATAACTTAATATATACTTATATAAACTAATATAAGTAGTAGTATACTAAGGGAATGGGTGCAAATCCGGCTATGTGTGTACATGCGTCATGATCACGGCGGAAGGTGTCAGTTCAGTGCGCGATGACTTCAAACGCGAGGAAATAGCATTGGAGGTGTATGGTAATTTTAACATGTTTTTACCAACAGACTGGTCTGAGCATGTGGATGGACTTGTGGTGAAGCATACGCATAAAAGAACGATTGTAGTAACTCACTGTAGTCTGTACATCTAGTAGATCAGTGGTGCTGTGGTCCATAGACCATTTTGGGGTCCGTGGATCATATTCATATTGGATGGGCTTCAGGGCCCAAGGATATAAGAGCTGTCCACATGTGATGTTGCACATTGCGAAAATGAATTGGCTTCAGGTGGTCCGTGAACCAGGCGCATACAAATTTTGTGTTTATGTGCTTATGTGCATTTTTCTGTGGAGGGGTCCGTAGCTTTCACCAGATTCTCAAAGGGGTCCAGGGACCATTAAAGGTTAAGAACCGCCGTAATAGATGTATATAGGTGATCTATTCTTTACATGTGCATGTAAGTTGTAACACAGCAGCTGTAATATTACGCATGACATATAGTGCATCTACTTTGTTCCTGTATCTAAATGAGAGCGGTTACACATGCGCCACGCCGCCATAGCATTACAATTTACATAGCCTAGCGTGACATTGTCATTGGTTAAGCGGGTTAGTGTCACCAGTAACACTACCCGAATATTCTTTATGATGTTAAAAGTTAACACAGTTAGGTTATTTTAGTTAAAGAACCATTCTTATTACAGAGTGGCTATATATGCCCTGCAGCCGGCATATATCTGACGGCGGCCGGGCACGGTGTTCGATTTCCTAAATGCCCTGCAGTTTTTAATTTTCAGCATCTCAAGTAAACAAGGGTTAGGGTTAGGGTTAGGAACTGCCGCGGCCATTTAGGAAATCGAAGACCGTGCCCGGCTGCCGGGCATATAGCCACAGCGTTCTTATTAACCCATGCCATCAAACATACCATAAGTGGCTTTTTATACTACTTGGTTAGCGCTCCTCATTTTCTTCAGCGAGGTGTCACATGAAAGCACATGAGTGTTGCTCATATGATTTCAATCCATTTGTACATTAAGAACATGGTGTCATTCACAGAAACAACTGAAATGAGTTTTGGATTTTCTTGCAGGTAGCAAGGGTATGCTATTCAACCTTACAGTTTAGAGTAGACTATAATAATCCCTTGTATTTCTATTTATTATTTATATAGGGTTTACTGGATTTATTGTAGGTTAAAGTTACCTTAGTTATATACAAGAATACATGGCTAGTTGAGCAGATAAGGTCTATGTCTCCCTTGGTACTGCCGGAACGTATCCTGGGTACGGTCCGGTATACCGGAACGTACCCTGGTAACTATCTGATATGGTTAGGGAGTAGGCGTAGGCGACTCCCTAGACTCGTTAGTGGAGTAGGCGAGGTACGGTCCGGCATATTAGATAGTTACCAGGGTAGGTTCCGGTATATCGGACCGTACCCAGGGTACGTTCCGGCAGTACCCAGGGAGACATGGACCCTATCAGCGCTAGTTGAGGTAACGGTTAAAACTGGGTTGTTCTGTCTCAGCGATCTACAAACCTAATGTGTTTGACAGTGAATTCTTATGTTATTTCATAAGTTCATATTATTTGTGCCTTTAGATCTAATCAAAGACATAAAGGATCCAGAAAGACCTGATACATTGGAGGATCTCAGTGTTGTCTATGAAGATGGTGTGAAAGTTGAGAATTTGACAGGTCTCTGTGATGAAAGGTATAAGATATCCGTGATATTTACACCAACTGTTGCACACTGCCACTTAGCAACTCTCATAGGCAAGTACAAATTAGCAGTGACATTTATTTAGTATAGGAACTTTGTAGATTTAATTTACTCCTACATTTGGTAACATAATAACACCTAACATAACAAAATCACCAAGTTTCCTGGAACTTGGTACACATATTTTCATGCATTTCTCAATGCTTGAGAGCTCTATTACTGCTAGTCGCAAACAATGTACATGTAGCTGGTAAAACGTAAGCTACTAAATATAAACCCGATTATTTCAGGTCTCTGCATCAGGGTTAGACTACAAGAAGAGCTCCCACATAGTTACAAGGTAACAGAGAATTGTGGTTTGGCATTTCATCAAAATGTTTTTTTTATATATATTAAACCTTTTCCAGATCACATTGTTATTTTTATTAGTACTATCTCCAGTGCGTGTGTAATTTTAAAGGTTGTACTACTGAAAACGCATGTTGGCATATTATTTTACATCACAGCTGTTCTATTTCCCCCTGCCTGGGTAAACAGTTTCATCTATATGTTATCTTGTGGATTTGCTAAAATTGTACTAGAATGCATAATGTGGCAATGCTGTAGTGAACAATGGTCTTTCTTATTTCTTTTTTTTACAGCTGAGTATTTACCTCAAAGAAGGCAGCCACGATACTGCAACAGAAGGTGGGTGGGGTTGTTATAATAAGTGGAAATATCCATGCACTTAAAAGTACATTAGTAAATTACTTTAAATGTTAATGCACTGAGCCAATGCCGCTGAAGGGCAATGACCTCTGCACGTACTACACAAGAAAAGCGGATGTTTGTCACTATCTGCCCTCCCTAAACATATTGACCTTGTGATGTACTGTCCTACCGTTACTCGGCATGTTAGATTGCAAACCTCATTGCTTGTGGTGCACATTCTGAATACACGTTTATACATTCAAACTGACATATATCAGACCAGTATATTGGCAATAATGTAGAACTGCTGCTCAATTTCACTGCATTGAGCCTATTGAATTTAGTGCCTTTATCAATTTTTTAATAACTCATCATTGCATATGTTATAAAATTAAAGAAAAACTAATATGTATTGCTATACTATTCTGTAATTCCTCCTTTATACGCTCTTGATTCTATAACTATATGAATAACTCATCTACAAGCAGGCACTGCTGTCATCTACAAGCAGGCACTGCTGTGGGGTATATGGGTACTTCCATACATGTACCCACTAAGCTAATCCAGAGAGACATGATACAAGATTGCATGGCAGAGCTTTGCTGTTAATCCTAAGCGCTGCGCGCGGATTAGACGCGCAGTTCCGCGGGATATGCGCACGCAACCGCGGGGATGTTTAAGTATGAAGCGCTGTCCGCAATGGAGACGTGCGCCAAATTCGAGGCCCGGCGCACGTCTCCACAGCGGTCAGCGGATGGTCTGTAGTTTTAGAAGATGACAATGATTATATATTGACGATATTCTAGGAATTGCAGATTATAAAACAGTAACAAAAATCGCTCAGTCATTCTCCAGATTAGCTGAATCAAAAAGATTAGAATTTAATATGAACAAAACAAATACAATGGTTATAAAATTCACAAACAAAGAAAGGATAGAAAAGGAGATATTAATAGGCAACCAAGTAATAAAAAAATGCACCAAATATTCATACCTAGGGGATTTAATTAATCATATCGGCGGTTATAACGATAAGATGAGTCTGAACTGGAAAATGTAGGTTCATGATGAGGGAAATATTATCATGGGCAGAAGAGCAAAATTATGGAAATCATACTATAGAAGCAAGAGTGAAATTATACTAATGCACAGTTTTACCTTCCTTTCTAAATAACAGTGAAACATGGACTAACTTAACTAAGGAAGAAGTAAAAATGTTGGATGATTTCCAAAATGAGTGTATGCGCAAAATAATAATCACGCAGAAAACCTACCGAAAGGCATTGAAAGACGATGAAAACTCCAAGGAAAGATACGGAGAAATCAGTAAAAATAACGTATAGTTTCTATACGTAAATCGTGGTAAATACATATAAAAACGCATTATTTTATTGAAAATCCACATATTGACTTATAAAACATCCAAGAGATGGCGCTGTGGCATGTAAACGTTAGCTCCGAACATTGTGTGTTTTATTGAATTGTTCAATGAATGACGCACTCGTTCACTTCCGACAGCGAGTGAAAATGCAGAAAATTTTGCTGTTCGATGCGAAATGCATTGGCTGGGTATTTCATTATTTACGAAAAGTAAACAGGCTGGGGAAAGGAACCGGTCACGTCGGTCATGCCCATCAACGAAGAAGGCGGGGCTTATTCTGATTACGGAGATGTGAAAATGCAACAGAAGGGCGTAGTGCAGTGCGCTAAACAGCGTGTTATTTTCGTTTTTGTGCCAAACTCTCGTAGGAAACCGCTCTAGCCTAGCAGAATGCCCTAGTTCCTGAGATCGGCGATTTGGTACTGTAATGGGTCCCCACCCACCTTTGAAAATATTATAGAGAGGTGCGGCGTAGGCTGTGATTGGAAGACACAAAGTGTCAATCTTCGGCGCGCCTCGGCATCATGGCCGCATCACGTCCAGACATCTGGTAGGTGGCACTGAAACAGACGTGTTCCAGTGCATTCAGGGTCTCCAATGCATTCACATGTTTCAGTCTCATACATTTGGTGTTTGTCTGCCACTCAGAAAACATGTAACATAATATAGATCATCGTTCTTCTTACAGTGAGCAAGCAGATCAACGACAAGGAAAGAGTGTCGGCGGCACTGGAAAATCCAAGTCTGCGCGAACTAGTTACGGAGTGTCTTGCGCCGCGTTTGTGAGCTCGCAGAAAAAACGAACAAGTTTACTGACGTTGTTGCCAACCCGCACGCCAACTTGTATATCACTCGTCTTGGTCCGCTAGCGTCAAGGGACATGGCGTCAACCATCGTCCAGTACGTGGTCGTGCGAGGCGATCTCATCTCGAACTTAAGATGGCCGACGGGGGCTGTGATTGCACAGGCGTGCCACGCGACCACCGCCGCGCTGCACTTGTTCCGCGACAACGCCGACACGCAGCGCTACACCGACGACCTTGACCGCATGCACAAGGTTGTTCTGACCGCGAAGGGGGAAGATGACCTACTAGCGTTGGCCGAGGCGTTGCAAAGGGACGCTGTCCTGCACAAGCTGTGGACCGAGCAGCCAGAGAACATTCCGACGTGTCTGGCGACGAAGCCCTACGAGAAGGCAACCGTGGAGAAGTACTTCAAGAAGTTCAAGCTGTTTAAGTGAAGGTCACAGACTACACAACGGACGTGCCGTCACGTTGTCTGTGTGGCGTGTACACTACCCTGTACATCAGTTTACGAGAGTTGACTGTTATGCCATTCCTCCCGAGTTCATGAAAATATTAATGTTACAATATTTGTCACGAATTCATGTAGAAAAGTGGTAGAATAAAACGAATAATGAAATAAAGTTAGAGGGCTACCTTATTTTACGTACTTTTATTTTTTTTCACGCAACATACAAGGGAGGCTGACAATTATAATGAATCACATTTAATTGAACACAACACACAGCATTAACATGGTGTTCTTCTAGTGATAATTAACAGTTGTGTAATCTATGTGTCTGGACTCCTAAATCTAAAACACACTACATGCACTAGGCAATAATATTTTGCACTTTTGCAGTATGGTTAAAATTAAATGAATTACTGAATTCACGTTTTTCTGCAGATGTTAGGAGATTTCCAACACAATTAGAATGATTATGGTTCCGGTGAAACTAAATTTTATGATGGTATAAAAAAAACTTTTCATATTTACAAATGACACCAATGTCTCACAAATTAACATGACCTTGCCTTGCACTAGTTTAAAACATCAAACACATAAGACGACGTGCACAAGACACACACATACCAGTGCAAACCCTCCCCCTTTACATTCTCGCCCCCTATATCAATGGTCTCCAACATCAGATCTTGACCAGTAGTGAATCATAAAACATAAAACTAAACACAGAGACATGATGACATGTCTTAAAAAATGGAAGGAATTCCGCAAGGTAGAAATCCACCCTGGAAAATACCGTTGGGCCCATACCGTTGTACGCCGTAAACTGAAATCATCCTTCTCTCACAATGACAAACACTTGGAATTGAACTAGTTCTTGGTTGAAAGATATAAACTTGGTGACATTGTGTGTTTTGATACCTCATAGTGAAGGCCTATTTGGGCCTGTTACATTACAAGAAGATTCACAACAAATTATTTCAACAACAAGAAAACCCATGCTGTATAGCTCAGGTTAATCCCATAGGTGGAGAAGGGATCTCTCCTTCACAGTACGGAGCTATTCACACTCAGCTGTTCGACATTGCTTGTTCTACTGTCGCCGATAGGGATGGAAGCTTGGGGTGCTGTTGCTCTGGGAGACCCGTGGGTCTCGTGTGTACCCTGCTGGAGTTGTCTGTTGGGCTGGCATCCCTTGAGGCGACTGGTACACTGGAAGCAAACAGTATAGCGGTCACATATCAGCACAATTCAGCATAAGCTCTGCCATCCCTAAGCACATACCACACCAACAATGTTCAAATCTACGGCTTTCAGCCAATTCTCATTAATATCAAACAACAAATATAAGACTGTGGATTGTTGGACCTGTACAGTAATGACTTAACTTCATGGTTAATATAACTAATAACTCTCAGTGAGATAAGTAGTCTCACACTCTAATACAACTGAATTTTAATTTACCCTGTGTTGGTGGAGTTTGGGAGACAACGGGACTATCACCCTGTGGTCCACCACCTGGAGTTGCCATTCCGGGCATGTTGCCTTGGAATCCAGGTTGAGCATAGTTATAATCTGTAAAACAACAATCCACTGAATACTTGTGAAATATCGGTAAATTTGATAAGTTGCAATAGCTCCAATGACAGACTTAAACCACGCTTCAACACCGGACCTGCTGATAATCATAGGTTCACGTCTAGTTCAATACGGATATAAAACCTATGCCAGCGCAGTAACATGCAGCGCGGCAAAGGAACTACCGTCTCGCAACATGCCGACACACGACACAGCGTGCATCGCTGCGCTCCTGCAGACCACGGTTGTGTCAAGCACCGAAACGTGCGACAGACATGCAAAAGCGAACAAGCTTCGAAATCTTTCGCCTAGTGTGAGCTAACCGGGACTTGGTGAGTGTTATGGGGGGGGGGGGAGATGGTTCCCTGCCACTGTGACGTGGCAGTTAAATCCTGGGATGTCGGACAGAAAGGAAGCGACTACAATCGTCGTTCGTGGAAATTAATACTACGGATAACAGGACGCCACAACCGGAGCAAAACGGGTCAAGCAAGGGCACCTGTCCATTAAAAACACTATAATAGCAGGGTTTCTTTTGAGGGAAAATTAGACAACGGCGGTAATGGCCAGTTTGGGGGAAAAACGCACAGGATGGATTCAAAGGCGTGCAGTAAGCACGAATGTGGATTCTGCAGGCAGACGCGGGGAGAGAGAGGTAGAGGGGGGTTCTGGCAGCTGGACCCATTCTCCCGCACTCCCGTATGCCCCACGTATTCTCACGCAAAAAAAAAGAAAAAAAGCAGCCCGCGACACCCCTGTTACCCAGGTCCGTGGCTGTGCACATCGTGACTCGTGCTTGCTGGCTGGGGCGGCATTGATTGAAGTACGGGGGGGGGGGGGGGGGCAATGCACTGATTGTTAGTCGCGTGGGCATGCTTATTGCTGTATATGTAGGGGTGGGCACCGCTGGTATGAGGGAGCGACAGCAAAACTTTCCTGGAATCGAGAAAAAAGCTGCAATCGGGAATGACACACGAGTGTGCCGGCACACAAAAAGAAACGTTGCTGTGAATTTCATTACGATTTTCCATGTATATAGTCAGAAGCACGTGGTGATCTATTTATTTTTGGATTGACACTATTTTGACAACGGCGGGTAAATACAGGAACATTTCCACAACGGCGTTGTTAAATTTGAAAACGGCGGTGCGCCGCAGTGCCTCCTATGTAGAAGAAACCCTGAATAGAGAACAAGACACAAAGAACCAAACGACAGCACAGGCAGAGGCAGCACAGGGCGATATGTAGACCAAACACTGAACAGTCGGGCAGGAACTTACTAGCTCCATACTGTGACTGGGGGGTGGCGCTTGCACTGCTGCTGGTATCCGGAGCAACGCCCCCCCGCGCAGGGCCGTAGCTAGACTGCTCCTGAGGGTAGCTGCCCATGCCTGCAAACACGCAAAGCTTAGTCTATGGAAAGCAAGCTGGACTGTGATGTAACAGACTGCCACTGAACATACTGCCTGAAGACTGAATACATCCTGTATCAAGGAATAACCTAATCATAATAGTATTTGCTATTGTAAATAGGTACAGCACTGTTGAAAGGAAAAAGCTACGATTGATATGCATTCTAGATGAATCTCAAGATGAAACTGCAGCACACTAAAAATACAAACCGGACATATACGTCATGACAGGAGTATAAAATTAGCCTAAAACCTTGTGGAAAATTCTTTTAAGCACCACCTAATTCTAATTTTATACTAGAGGTGCTACAGCATTAATACTCATACTAATTATTTCCTACTAACATCCTAACCTGTACACGCATGTACACTTTTTATAGATTGCCAGTGAAACATGTCGTTCCTGACAGCATGGTAGTCAAAGACATCGGGGGTGGTAGTAAAGCTACAGAAATGCCCGTACCAAAGTTTGTATTTGGAGGCATCTGTCCCATCTGCGATGGCATTTGAGCTGGCATGCTCTGGCCTTGTGGTACCATCTGCTGCGGCTGTGTCCAGTTTCCGGATGGCTGCTGTGAGTACATGGCAGCCTGCTGCTGTGGGTTCTGCTGTGGGAACTGGCCAAAGCCCTGCCCCATTCCACCCGCACCGCCAGCTCCTGAAATTTAAGAAAAATTCAATGCAATGAGCAGTATACTTACGGATGTCCCAATTGTAAACAAATGTTGCAACAACCAAATTTTCGAAAAAACGACTTGCTAATAATCATCGAGTTTAAAAGACGTGACAATTATTTATTACAAATGTAGTACGGTAGTTTAGCTAAGAGGAGAGAGAGGGGGAATTTGGCTACATCTGACTGGTATGTGTACACTGTTGCTATCCGTGTTTATAATAAAACTATAATTGTCACCATTTATACAACTGTTACGTTCTACTGTCTACGAACCACATTGGTTTATTTTGTTGGAGGGAGCCTACTTAGATGGTTGCTAAGTGGGTTCGTTGGTCGCTAGTTATCGTGGTATAATCATTGAGCTGGACAAACCTCACCCCTCTCAAACTAACGGGTTATGGCAGTAGTAGCGAAAGGGACAAACGGGTATTTCTCCCATGTAAAGTATTGATATATTCATTCTCTAACTTCTCTTCCTCTCACTTTTCTTTTCCACGTTTTGTTAGCATAATTTGTAGCGAATATCATATTCCTTGATGAGGAGGCGGTCATGCTCAATTTATAACCTTTTACGTGAATTATAACGTTTTACACAAATTATAACCTTTTGCGCGAATTTTCACTTTTGTATGCGATCTATAACCTTTTATCGGCGAATTTAAACTTTTGTCCACAAGCTATAATTTTTGTTTGCGAGTTTTAACGTTTGTATGTGACTGTGAATATTATACGACATTTTGTTTTTAGCTATTGTGCATTTTATGTTACGCGATTGGTGACAGTTCGACGTGGTGTCCTTGCGAGGAGACACGATATGTTTCCCACGATAGTACGCGGATGCTATCTTATTGATATTATTATAGAAATGACCAGTGTTTTATTAAGCGATGAGCGTTGCACGCGATTTTTTTACGGAAATACGGGTTATGACGATGTGCTATAATGTTACGGTTGCGGGTTGACTATATTTTATGCTATTGTATGGTTGCGGTTAGTTTTTCAGCATGTTACGATTACATACTTGAGCGTTTACAGTTACAAGCACACATATCACGATGATAGTACAGCCTTTCACATTTTCCGTGGCTCACATAAGCCATCCGCCCATAATTTCATAGAGGGTTTTCTTCTAGTCTGGAGACTGGGCTTATCCGATTTCATCAACTTTTCTTAGGGCGGGGTGAAATGTAGTACGGTGTTTTAGCTAAGAGGGGGGAATTTGGCACATTAACTATGCAATTGTTCAGGGACGGCCGGCGATGGGCCCAGAAGACATTAGCTGCATACTTAAGAGTAGACATAAATTAACGTGGACAGAAGGCATTTCAAAATGGTACAAACACATTAACTTCAACAAGAATGCGGCTGAGTTTATCAAACAGCCATCATTAAGGGGGTACCATCGGATGGTAGTCGCGACCGGTCGTTGTACCCACGACCTGCGACACAAACAAGCAAACAGGTCAGACGACGATGCGGACGGATAAAAGACAGGGGTTTTGGGGACAACGGGAGACGTTGGCTACATCTGACTGGTATGTGTACACTGTTGCTAACCGTGTTTATAATAAAACTATAATTGTCACCGTTTATACAACTGTTACGTTCTACTGTCTACGAACCACAAGTTCCACTCTACAAAAACAAGATAGATATTGATGAAATAGGCCTAGAACTGTTTTAAACATTTCTCTGGTTACTTTCTTACATTATAGATAGCTTGGAACAGTACATGCACCAGATGTATTAGTATTAGGCAGTGCCTAGTATTCACAATCGAAATTGAGTGCAGCAGTTTCAATTCCCATCGCTAACTACCAAGTGTACATGATCGTGGGTACAGATTGATAAACCCTGGCCAATTAGACACAACAACAGCAGCAAGCAACTACCAGTGAACAGTGTGCTGACACAACTCGCTCAACCGCATACCTTGATTCGGCATGAAGGGTTGCTGTTGAGGGAATCCCTGACCCCACTGGCCTCCAAACTGTTGCTGGCCCCATTGTCCTTGGGGCATGAAGCCTACATAGTAAGGCAGTTGTTAGCATATTAAGTAGATTGCTTGTGTTACACTTAAATCAGCGCAGAGAGATTGTGTTCATCTTGCAGTCACTGCCGTGCTACCACTCGCTGCACTACGATAAAACGTTGTTCGGTTTAAATTCAAAGTCGTGGAACTTGACATACACAAAAGCTCATCTTACATTCGCTCAGGGTTTTCATTATCTTTTATAGTAACAGGCCGAAATGCTTTTGCAACAGGCCGTGGGGGAGTGCGGGCGGGGGGTTTGGGGGTACCCTAGATGCTCTGAGATGCAATCTGGTGTATTCTGAGCTGCAGTAAACAGACACATTTGGATTACAGTATGGCCCTTTTTTCCAATTTGGTTTCTCCGGGTACATTCAGAGTTCACCAAAAGTTTCCAAATTATGACGATTTAGTAATTATAAGAGTTAGACAATTAAGTACGTAAATAGCGTTACTCAAAAACAAAACAAGTGCCGCAGAGCGACAGCGCTCATCTAACGTCTACTGCGGTGACTCTGTGGTGGAGTGGTGGGATTCTAGTAAACCCTGTTAGTCCCAATGTGTTTCACATACACGCCGAAACAGTGGAATGCCACAGGGATGGTATCAGGAACCTTCTCAAGAATGTTCGTTGGGATCGTTGTGAAGTTGCACGAGATGCGCGCGTACGTTTAAGTGTCTTCAGATTAAAGATGGAAGCTCCCATCATACGTAGTAGCAACAACTATTTGCAAGACAGAATAGGTAAGCACTCATCCATTTACCTACGCAAGCCTACAGGCTGCAAATTGCAATAGAGAGCTGCCACCTGTAACCAATTAACGCAGGCAAAAACTGCCACAACACATGCACTGGCAGCAGCCACTGGCATGGCATAGTTACTGTAACATACTGACAGTACAGAATGACAAGAGAAATTATACGATTTAAGGAACATACACCTTCTTTAACCAAATTTAGCTTTTGAAATTTCACTGTGACATTGTAGCCTCATACTCCAGGCATGTATAGATTCTACTAGCAAACCCGGCAGTCAAATTCTTTCTAACAGACAGTCAAAAATCCAAGTTTAACCTCCTCTTGAGGGTCAAAAGGTTATCGACACTTATCTTGCTGCATGTCAGCAGAAGGGACATTTCATGGTCCTTTCAATAAAGCCATTAAAAATGCTAGGTCACGCTGAAACAAAAAGTTTTTCAATCGCTCCGTCAGACCATGTCCTCAGAAAATGTCTAAAATCTGCCCTGTGCCATTGACCTGTGGACCTCCAATTTCGGCACAGTATGGCTTTCCTACCATGATGCTATACACCGACTATCACGAGCCTAGGTCGAGCCGTTTAGATTTGTGCCGCAATTCTGCATTTCCTCCTATACCTTAAGTTAAGGAGTGAATGTTCCCCCTTCTTTTTACACCTCTTGACCTTTGACCTTTGACCCCCCAGCTTCACCATCCCAACTCGTTTTCGGATTACCCCCCCACGTCCCAAATATCGTGACCGTACGTCGAGCGGTTAAGATTTGTGCCCAACTGTTGACGCACGGACGGACGCACGGACGATCATGCGATTCTACAAGCTGCATCTGACTATGTCAGATGAGCTAACAATGCTTCTTGTGCACATAACATGCATACAAATATACTCAACTGATTTATTAGTAGTAGCTCATAAAACACTTTCACTTGGGAGAATATTTAGAGCAAACTAAATGCAAATAAATTTTTTTTTTTTTTAATATCATACTTGAGCCAATTGTAACCGGCCGAAACAGCAGAGTAGACAGTCAATTCGGCCGGTGGCCGGTTCCTAATGAGAACACTGTTTGCTACACAGTTGGCATTGCTTCCATGAGTTTATACATCAGCGGAGAGCAAGCATGCACGTGGATTTGACCGCTCACCTTGTTGCCCCCAGCCGCCTCCCTGCGGTCCTCCACCCCAGCCCTGGGGCATGCCGCCGCCCATCTGACCATTGCCATTGGACTGGTTCCAGGTGCCCATGTTATTGAAGGACCGGCCGCCGCCGCCGCCTCCGCCACCGCCACGACCGCCACCGTCTCCACGTCCGCTCTGCGGCTCGGCGCGTTTGATCTCAGCCTGAAACGCAACAAGATTTAGTGGCGCGGTGACAGTGATTCAGACCGCTGCGATTCCGAGACGTGTGGCCGTTAGTGAGTCGCGCAATCACACAATACAAGATTAGCAGCTTGATGATAACGAATAACACAATCATACCGTAAATCTATCGCAGTAGTACCATATTATAGTTAAAAAACATAAACATAAACAGGGCACATTAACGCTATTGATTAAGCCCTCCGCATCATCCGGCTTTCATAGGCAGTTATGTTTCCACATTTGCACCAGACACTCCAGATGTAAATAATGGCAAAAATGCCAATATATATATGTAATTATATTTACATTATATTCTATTACTTGCTATTTATACATCTAGCTATGTATTTACCTTACAGTCTAGAGAAGAAAACTGGAAGCATTCACTTAATTTCTTTAGTGAACGTCAATTCACACTACCAAATTGTGAAGCCTCACAGATCTCTTCAGTAAAAAGCCAGCACTAGTAGTGGTTAAGTAAGCCAACTGCAGCAGGCATCTGTTACTATGGTGAGAGCTAGGTGAGTGCAAGATTCGCTCATTCAGCTACAAGATACAACGAAATCATTTCCTGCAGCCTGTCTCTCACATACCATAACTGCCTGCTGCAGCTGGTCGCTTAAAACAAACTTACAACCGTAATAACTTAACCAGCTCTTCTCAAAAAGTCTATCATTCCCTAACAGATGTTCCAAAACGTTCAAACAACAATCAGACACACTCAGACTTTTTCAGAAGTGCTGGAAGCCCTACCCGTACCGCACTTAAATAGGAAAAGTATTAATATAACTAAACCTGTTTGCCATTGATGTTGATGTAGTGTTCGGCTACAGTGTTCTCTACAGCCTCCTCCGAGTCGAATGATACAAATCCAAAGCCTAAATCACCACAAGGTGGGCAGTAGGAAAGCTTTAATCATATTCTAGGCCTATGCTTGACCAATAGGCTTCAATTCACTGACAAACACACTGCAAGCAACTTATGATGGATTTTATGATTGAGTCTCAAAGTATTGGCAGAGTAGAAACCCCTTTTAATAGAAAGACAGAATAAACTTGCATGAGATTGAAATAACTGCCCACAACATTGACACGCATAGGAGTCAGTGATGGTACGTGTTCCCTTCGGAGAGATCTACCTAATCAATGGATGACAAGTCATAAAGAACTAAAGAAGAAAGTATTGTGATAGTGATGACAATGACGACGATAAAACAGAAGAGGGTGGAGGTGGAGTAGAAGAGGAAGAAAATCCCACCCATCTGAATATAAGAAAATATCAGAGCAATTTAAACTTGGGGAATGTTGGAACTGTAAAATAGATACTGGTGAAAGATGAAAAGCAGGACAACTGTTCTACAACTGGACTAGCATTAAGGATTAAAGTGTAGTGTGTACTGTGTAGTATTGCAACTGGACTTGCTTTTAAATGCATCTGATGTTGTTAGCATCAACTATGCATGAATGACTTCTATACAAAAGATAACAAATGTTAACACATAGTGATAACTTCACGACAATATTAGGTGAATATTATGCTTCCTTCACCAACTTCAAGTTGGCACAAAAAGGTACAAAATGACCCCCAAGTCACGAGATATGAATATGTACACTTTCTAAATGCACTACAGTGTGTTTGTCAGTACTAGGGAAGACTTCAGGCTATCTCTAAGGATGAGACTTCGATACAGTACCTAAGTAAAAGTAAAAGCACTTAAATACATTACAGACTAAACACCAAAGTAGCAATTACCATAAAATATCTGCGCACCATTAAGAAAGCTGCAAATCTTCTGAGCAATATAACAACTTATTATCACAACTTGGTAAAAAAAAAACGAATGACATGTGTATTGTGAATACGTGTGAATGCACACTCATCCAATCGCATGAAAAGACAAGAGCCACTGAAGATTTCCAGCTCCAAAGTTCCAAAATCTAATTTCCACATACATAATGATATTAAGAAATACCTACTTCTTAAACCAATTTCACTTGGGTCTTCAATTCTTAGCAAATTTTTTGCCTTTACTGAATAATATTGACCTCTAGTTTAGTTTTAACTGTCATCATGGGTTCAAACACAACCTTATAGTGGGTTTTAAATAAAAAAGTCTTGATAAGTAAGTTTTCCACCAAAGTGTGCAAAACACACTCCTAAATCCAACTATTACTTATAAACTTAAAACTTTGTAATATTATTTATAATTAATAATAAAGTATATATATGATATATAGAGTACTATATGTGATACACGTGTTATTTACATGTTAGAGTACTTATAATTAAATTACTTAAATTATATTTGAAACTGTAAATGGAATATACCAAGTAAATCTATTTTATGATTTAAAAGACTTTATATATAGTTTCTATGGAGTTGTTCCAAACATTGTATCAGAACTAATACATGCATTTGATTGTCATATATATATATATATATATCTATACATACGACACTTACAAATTTAGCATCATAATTTGACAATTTTTATCACTCTGCACATTTTTGAAATCACCATTAGCACGTTGCTGATACAAGTGGGACACATGTAAAGTTAATTCTTTCATGATTTTGTTAACAGAATAGATCGGTGGGTGGCATTTTGATTGTTTCAAAATTTTTTTTTGCAAAGCTGTGACTGAATTGATACAGTTTACATAGTTCTCAACATTGTTACAACTAATCAGATTTTTATTTATTTTCGTATTTTTCTCTCCAGTTTTTCCTTTTATGATTAGCATGTCAATCGTAGAGTACGAAGGTTCAAATCTGTCTTACCTCTAGAACGCTGCTTCTGTTGGTCATACATGATGCTAACCTCCGTCACCTTTATGAAAGCACAACAAACATTAGTTTTAATAATAAAAAGAAAGACAGATGTAAATGTAATCAATGTAATAAACTTTAGATGCCATGATACTCATACAAAAGGGTGTATAGTACTGTATATACGTTACATTTTGTAAAATTGATGTATTGAATCTTATATTTTTGACAAGAAAATATAATTGAATAATTGTATCACACATATTACACACGGTTTCAACTTAAATACATGTCTGACAGCCTTCATTGTATAATATACATAACAGTATACAGACAGTTAATATGGTCAGCTGCCATGATGATATATGCCCCCTAAGTCACTGCTGTAATAACAACATATCAAAGCAGCTCACGTAGGGCAAAGCCAAACTAGACACTAGCCAATTTCCAGACTGACCATGACCCTGTCGCCCACGCTACACGTATGGAATATTTCACAAGAAAAATCTTACATTGCCATATTTTGAGAAGAACTCTCTTAGATCATTCTCGCTTGCAGTCGGTGCAAGACCTCCAACGAATATCTTCTTTCCCTTAGTCACATGTGAAGTTTTCTGTAAGAGAATGGGCATTGTGAAATCAGACAAAGGTTCTGTAGCAATACATTCACAAACAACACGGACATACTTTATCAGTGACGACTAGGAATCACATCTGGACAGTAACTGAATTTCCTTGCAAGACATGGTGCCACTAAAATTATTATGTGGATCTGTCTTTTTTTCTGTACGGTACCCACACACGGCATGCCTGAGCCATACTTCCACCAAACTTATAGGGATGAAGCACTTTTAGAGATTAGTAATGCTTTGGCATTCCCAGATTATCGAATAAAAATCCTGCTGTGTTACACAGAAAAATGTTTACCTATACTTTTTCCAGACATGTTTTTACAAATACTAGTAACATGTTACCTTCTGTGAACCACGTGGATTGCACGCTTTCGGATCAATCTGTTTATCATCAAGCAGGTGAGGTTGTATGGATAGCACGGTCTCCAAGCAACTCGGATCTTTGTATGTGACAAAACCAAATCCTCGTGACTTGCCGGTCTCCGGATTTTTCATAACGACACAGTCGACTACCTCCCCATACTTGCTGAAGTAGATGTGCAGCGATTCTACAAGAAAGAAAGATCGTAATTTATTACAGCACAACAAACCCACTAAGCTATGTTACATAACTGCACATGATGATGTAAATGTAATCAATGTAATAAACTGTAGATGTCACGATACTCATAGGACATGTATACAAAGGGTGTAAAACTGTATACATTACATTTTGTAAAATCGATGTATTGAATCCTAAAATTTTGACAAGTAAATACAATTGGAGAATTGTATCGCACATATTAATACATGGTTTCAACTTGAATACATGTCTAACAGCCTTCATCGTATAATATACATAATATTATACAGAGAGTTAATATGGTCAGCTGCCATGATGATATATGCCCCCTAAGTCACTGCTGTAATAACAACATATCAAAGCAGCTCACGTAGGGCAAAGCCAAATTAGACTAGCCAATTGCCGAAAAATTGCCATGAACCTGCCGCCGCCCATTTTGATGAAACATCACATTATACATATTTTAAAGCCAAGAATAACTCAGCAAACTTTAAAGGAAGTATTGCAAGATTTTTGCTCAGAAACACTCAATCCAAAAAAAATATAGGTGAATTTAATCTCACCTGACAGCGGAAACATCACTAATTAGACCAACATTAAAAACACTAAGATTTTATGCAGTTATAGCATAGAAAAATGGATTCGACCACATCATACCAGCTCCGATTATTATCGTATGCCGACAATCCAAAATACAAATGGCGCCTTCAAACCAAGTGCATAATTAAAACAAAGGGCGTGCAATTCTGTGTGCTAAATATTATTGACCTTCTATGTCAATAATTCAGAGCACTTTCTGTCATTGTCATTCCCGTGTTACTATCTGACTGGTAATCCACATGCTTCTCTAATAACAGACTTTACGCGGTATTAGTACTACACTGCTGTTACGCTAGTATGAACGTCTGTGTTTACACTCTGACCTGATTTCTACGGTGCGACAGTATGCATTACTGCACCCTGATAGATGTCTCGCGGCTACCGCGAGAAAGTCGGAGAGATGGCAACGGTAAACAAAACAGAACGCAAAATTGTAATTGTGCACGTTTTGGTGAATACGAAGGTTTTACGGCATTTTATCGTTACTCTAGACAATTGCTGTTACACAAGCAATAACGCTAGGTATCATGAAAATAGGGAAAACACTGGAAAACTCTCGCAATAATTACTTTAAGCTAATGATAAAAAACTTTGAAATGAAATACTTTACTTACCCTGTGTCGTCTTCCAACTAAGCCCGCCAACAAACATTTTCCTGTAACAAACAATTAAAGTTTATAAAATTATCGACTAATTTCAAAGCAATGATTTCAAACAGTCTTCCTAACCGGTCTTGTAGCTAACCGTCGTTGCTATGTTATATACCATAACAGCATGAAAACATGGTAATTTTCAATAACGTGTTCGCTATTAGGTGAAACTATATTTCGCTACATTTTGCTTGATTGTACAATTTAAAATTAAGAAATAGTTCATTTAAAGATTAAGATTTATTAAGCTATTACCCAAGAATTAATTCTCCTTTTAAAAACTATGACCCAAATCAACAATTTTCCAAAACTGATCGTAAAATTGTATGGACAAATTACATATTCATATCATTATCAAGATAAAAAAGAGAGCTTACAAACAGCCCATCACTCTATATTTTAGACGTGAACAAACTTCTCTTTGCTATTTTCCAACTTTTTTGACCCAATCCTAGTTTAGCGTATATGTGAACTATAGTATATGTATTACTGGGGTTCCAAACTAGGATTGACCAACCGTTTCCAGCCAACAATGAAGAAACATTACAAAGTAATACTAATACTAATAGTAATACTACTAACTAGTAACTAATACTACTAACTAGTAATAGTAATACTACTAACTAGTAATAGTGATACTACTAACTAGTAATAGTAATACTACTAACTAGTAATAGTGATACTACTAACTAGTAATAGTAATACTACTAACTAGTAATGCTAGTAGTAGTAATAGTATACCAACTACTAACTAGTAATACTATTACTAATACTAATAATAGTAATACTAATAGTAATACTAATAGTAATAGTAATACTAATACTGTAATACTGTAATAGGGTACAAGTAGCGTTTACACACCCATGTCGTGAGTTTGGTTAGGGTTAGGGTTAGGGTTTTTAAACCTGGGGTAGTCAAATAGGAATGGGCCCTGTAATAGTACTAATACTGTTTGTTAAAAGTAAAACCACTTATACAAGCGAAACAAATATCGTTACTGCGTTTCAGATCAAGTCACGGGCAAATATACTTGATGGGTGTTAGGAATTCGCACTAACTGTAATTGTTCTAACATTTTTACGAGGTACCTATGCAATGCCAATGTACAGCGTACGCATTTGTAGGCCTATCGCTTTGTTATGGCTCAAGATTTGGAATAGTGCAACTTCAAGGTGCGCGAAGTTACATTTTAATTCAATAAATACGTGCTGATTAATTAAACTATTAAAACATTTGCTTACCCTACTTCATCCTGTTGTCTATCTTGCTTCCCTTGAGACATTATGACGTATACTTTATAAGAAATCTAAAATTATGAAAACCACGCCGAAATCAGACACCGAAGCTAAGCAATAAAATGGCTGAAAGAACGATTGTGGCGCCACTTTGCGCATTCTTGACCAACTACTACAGAATAAATAGCTAGCCCACTGCTTGCCGAAGACTAGAGAATGTTTATCGTTACTATCTTTCTTTGTTTATAAAATATATAGTTGTGTGTTTTAAAAATTCTGCATTTATGGTGCCTACTTCTGGACTAGGTAAGCTATAAATAAGGGCATATATAAATATATTATATTGCTTGTTTTTTATTAATCATAGATGGCGCAACGAGACCAGTTTTTTGTTGCAGACCCCTCTTGCAGACCTCAGTTGCAGACGAGAGCAGGCATGCAACGCTTGAAATATGCGTTTCATCGTAATCACTGAGGTCCGATACTACATTCTATAACAGCATACATATAGTTATTGTGTAGTATATTGTTACTAAGTACAAGTTATTATATAGAGATATAATCGAGATATAATAGAGATAAACCTAAATGAAATCGAAAGGCTAATCGTTACTACTATTACTAATTACTATACTACTACTAGTCTAAACTCTATGTGTTACATTGTAAATATATTGTAAAATAACCAATGCAATGGCAATGGGCAATGCCAATGCTAGCTCTAGTACTATAGCCCACGTACAGTTGCCACTGGCCAGCGGCAAGCGGCAAGCGGCCAGCGGCAACTGTACGCGGGCTATAGACATATAGAGTACTAGCTAGAGCTATACCAATGCCAATGGCAATGCCCAATTATGAATTAGTCTAATGACACCTCAACCAATATCAGGACATTGTCAATATGATTATTAATATATATTAGATTATGTTTTCATTATTTTTAAATTATTAAATCATGTACCAGTGCCACTGGCACTGTCGGCCCACTCACTGCACTTCCATAATTATCAGCAGCAAATTGAGCAATTTATATTCCCTGAGTACCAGAGCATATAAATCACATATATACCCCATGATTTATATGCTCTGGTAGTACTGAGTGAGTGTCAGAGTGAGTCTGCGGCTGCGCTGTGACTGTCCTTGTCCATAGGCTATGGACCATGGCATAGATACTACCATTGGGGTAGTATCTATGCATTGTCCTTGGCACTGGCAGTGCCCGGGCAGAGTACTGAACTGAGTAGGCCTAGTATTTGATTATTAATGCCGAGAAAAACGCCAGTGCTATTCTAAATTGGATAAACGTGATACCGAGTATGAATTGCATTATATATACGAATTATATATCACTATAAGTCATTATTATATCATACTAATGAATGAATGACATAACTTTTAGATTTGACAGGGGCAAGACTGTGTAACACTGGCAAATGCAAGCAATACATTGGATAGATGTCGACAAATCGCAAGTTAATCACACAAACCAGGAAAGGCACAGCTGCGATGAAATGCTACTCTGATGTGTCTGCTTTATATCCTGACAAACGTGCTTATGGATATCAACGGGGCTTCCCACATGCTACCGGTAATGGTATATTAAAATTATTTAAATTAAAGGTAATAAAAACCTCATCTATTTACATGTCTAAAAATAAGAGCCCCAATTCCATAAATTCAGATATGAAATCGCTATATGTAACTAAAGCCCTGTCTACACTAGCAAACTTTAGTTTGCAAACTCGAGCAAACTCCGAGTTTGCCAAAGTTTGGAGAAGTTTGTGGTGCCTGTCTACACTATGGTACTGACTACACTACACTACTGGTACTGACTGTGAATTCCAATGTGCAATGTCCAATGTTTGTTCATCTGCAGGATCACATGACTACAAACTGTCATTTGATTGGCTGAGTTATTCCAAACCTCAGCAAACTCGAGCAAACTAGTTTGTCAAGAAGGTGCACGGCCTAACTTCTGCAAACTTCTGCAAACTAGTTTGCCGAAGTTTGTCAACTGGTCTACACTGGCAAACTTTGGAAAACTTTTCTTGCCAAACTTGGAGTTTGCTCGATTTTGCAAACTAAAGTTTGCTAGTGTAGACAGGGCTTTAATGTTATTAAGCCGGTCTGCAATTATATTTGCTCTCCAAGCAACTTGATTTTTACTTTTAATCTGTCTGCTATCCAAAACATGACACAATTGTAATTATAATAAACAATTATAAATTGAATATTTGATAGATGGTCCTAAGTATATAGCAAACGCAGTAACAGATCCGTATGAATTTACGGACACGCCAAGGAGCAAACAAATAGCACCAAACGTTGACGACGTCTTGGAACCAAGAACCAAAAGTGAAAAGGTGTTGGCTAAATTTAATTGTTAAAAATGTTATCACTGCGGAAACATAGAAGGAACGTATCAAACTAGCAAGTATCTTGTGAGTGATACATATAGTAACATTAGATATTAGGGTCATGATGTTCTAGACTCTAGGTAGCTATCATAACAGGGGTCTGTAAATGTGTGCATACGACCACCAGGCACGCGCACGCGTAGGTCTACCTACCCTTACCGCAACCACCACTACGCACTCGGTTTAACTAGTGTGTTTGCACTTACAGTGGTAACATTATATGTTGTATAGTATCAGCAAACACATTGATGGAATTTTCATGAATTGGGTAGGGCTTATTGCAAAGATCAGTCAGATGCAGAACTTTTTTTACGTACTTTGTTAGCGTAATTTATAGACGTTAATTACCGCAGTGTAAGAACTGCACACAATGTAAAATATTCGATTATAATTTCTATGTTACTACGTATAGCTCAAAGTGAGGAGAAAGCTGATACGAGTAATACATGATACACATAAAGAGATGGAAAAGCTGCGCAAGCAAAGGGCACTACTCCATAGTGGTATTATACTGATTAGAATTTACAGTATATAAAAAAAACTTCATAAAGTGAACCTGGAGTATATGTGATGTATATAAAATTAATGACTGAATCGTAGGTTTGTTTATAACATACTACAGTATTGTATTGTGCTCTATTGTCATTGCTTCTATAGCGTATACCGAGTGGCATGTAAAGGTTTCCAATGAATTATTACTAATACTAGGAATTGTTGTGAAACGTAGGCTACTTACTCGCGTATGTAGTTATTATAGTGCTATGTGCTCTATGTGTATGTTAACATGGGATGCTACTATGCTCAGTTCCAACCATTTTTGGCAAATGGTTTGTTACTTAGTTAGTAGTTGACTATTTGGAAATTTTAATTAAGAAAGATGCATTTAAAATTAGATTAGAATTTCATGGCAATTCTGTGCCTAACTTGGCTTGAAAGAATGCAATCCATCTAATATTTTCACCACGAAGCTAGCATACATATGTAACCCTTGAAATCATTTCCTTATTCGTTATATAGGCAAAGAAGCATTAGATGTCAGACCCAATATAGGCATAAGCCGAAAACCAAGCAAAATAGGAGTGACAGTGAGCATTGCAACGGATCATGCAAATTGTGTTAACACCCAGGTACAGTTACCAGAAACAGAATACTAATAAGTTGTATATGCATTACAGTTTTCATACTAAATATCAGAAGCACGCACACAAGCACACGCGTACGTATTAACGTATATTGTATAACGTATTAACGTATATTGCAAATCTACAAAGCCATGCAACGTGCGTGCGTGTGCGTGTGCGTGCGTGCATGAAGAGTATAGGAGTTGTGCAGCTGAACTTTATAACAGTTTTTTCTGTCACGTTGGCCGTCATAATTCTTTGCTTGACATTTTTACAGTACGAGGTGTCTCCCTCTGGGAGTAAGAGCATGGAGTGGGTCGGTTTCTCGGAAGAGCTCAATCCCCTCGTGGCTGCCAGCAGGAAATGCCAATTGACCCGCATATATCACAGCAAAAATAATAAACGGAAAATGGAATCGTAAAAATTATTGTATAGTACCCGCGTCTACAGAGCTTTTATGCACATTGATCTAAGCGATTATTCGCTTCCGTATAGCCTTTACTATAAGAGATATGTTCATTTGTTTACTAATACGTATTTCAATGTGATAAGGCTCTATAATATGGTGATTTTCTAATTCGTGTAAGTGCTTCCACGTTCAACATCCTGGCTCGCTAGCAGACTCGTATATTTATACGCATAGGCAATACGTGTGTGTGCGTGCGTGCGTATGTGCGTGCGTGCGTATGTGCGTGCGTGCGTGCGTATATGTGCGTGCGTGCGTGCGTATGTGCGTGCGTGCGTATGTGCGTGCGTGCGTATGTGCGTGCGTGCGTGCGTGCGTATGTGCGTGCGTATGTGCGTGCGTGCGTGCGTATGTGCGTGCGTATGTGCGTGCGTGCGTGCGTGCGTATATGTGGGTGCGTGCGTGCGTGCGAACGTGCGTATGGGCATCTATACCCATATGTCATTGATAATAAAACACATTTGTGTTGATCACTTTGCTCCTATTAAAAATGCAATGAGGTTTATCAGTCACCTATTTTTTTTTAAATAAGCACTGGATAAATGAAATATTGGACTGGTATTTTTGTGCAGTATAAACGTTTAGTTTGTTGACGTCAGAGAAGCATCGGATTATTGTAAATATTTTGTTACAAAATATATTTAATATAATAACTATACATAATATCTTACTCCTAATAATATAATTATACGCTTTATATAAGTGATCGTTTATGAAATGCCAATAAATGATCTATTATCTTGTAGCAAATCCTAAACTACGAATTTGAAGTGAGTAATGATTTCAGGGTTTTGACAATACCGAATATGTTGCTGCCAAAAACAAAAACAAAATCATATCCGAAAATATTTTGCTCCCTCTTCCTCCACTTCCTTCTCCTCTTCCTCCACCTAACCATCACACTGCTTCTCATGTTGCTATCACTGCTTCTCCTCCTACTCCTCGTCTTCCCTCTTCATCTTCACCCATTGCTCTCCGCGTCTGCTTCTTTTGTTAGTCTCTCTTCTCCTGCTGCTGCTGCTGCTGTAGCACTAGTACTATAGCCCGCGGATAGCTGCTGCAGATAGAAGAGCTGCTGCTGCTGCTGCTTCTTCTCTTCCTTTTCATCATTATCACCATCATCCGTAATCTCTCAAAATGACGTACTGATTTATGCGAATGTTTAACTATTCTCCAATAGAAAATTATTTGTCGATTTATGTACTGCAGTGCCATCTATCTGAAAAATGGTATCCTAATATAGACGTTCTCCATGTCGTTCGACAAATGCGGAGACCATAGCAGCGACACATACGGGAATTACGAGACAAATGACGTGAGTCCATCTACAAGTCACTTGCAAACAAACACGAACTAGCATTTGGTAGAAGCACGAGTAACACAAAATATCCATTTGCGGTTTTTAATGAACAACTGGAATGGCTAATAATAGATTTATGTTCAACGTAAGTTATACATCGTGATGATGATCTGATGTTAGTGGTTTTGATTAAAGTTTTGGTATGATCCTGAGCACAGACGTAATCGTAATCATAATATTAATAATATTGCCTTCTTACCTAGCTCCAAGAAACGGTATCGCTAGGGTTAGGATACAATCTGTATAGACAATCCGTCGCACAGCCTGGTCGGGCTACCTTCTTACCTAGAACTTAGAACTTAGAAGATAGGTAGTATTACTAGTATTACTTAGTAGATTTTTTGTAATTTGTGCTTTATATAATTTTATGTAGTACGATTATAAACTAACGTTGTAACAACGACTGTATTTTACTTTAGGTCCAAGGGGCACCCTTGCAACCTGACCAAGATCCAGTAACGCAAGAACATTCAGACAGATCAGGAATGTTTCAGAGTCTTTCACAAATGCCACAATGTCGGCCTATGATGTGGCATGTGCAAAGACAACCACCACCTGGTAACATACATAGCTCTATCCATGTAGCCTCTTCACTCCCTAGATACCTCTGTAGTAGGAGTGAAGGAGCTGCATAGGTAGAGCTATTGGTAACACAAACATAGGGCCTATGCAGGGGTTGAAATAAGGAGAAAAAAAGAGATGGTCCACACAGGACCATCT